TATATATATATATATATATATTTATATCTCTACGGCAGTGACTGCAGTAGGATCAGATATCTTCAACCGCGCAAATATACCAGACATGATTACTTTGTCGGTTTCGTCGTTCTTTTTAAGACGGAAGGCATCAGTGCGCTTTTGGCGCGAGCCTTTTCCCGTTGGAGCGGGCTTCTTTGCTGGTTTGGATACCGGAACCCCTGGGTCGGTAACTTCCTTATTGTTGACTCGTTCAATCTTCTGTGAACTCATGGTGAATGACTATTGGTCAATTATATATATATATATATATATTTATAGATGTAAACATAGTATTAATAACTTTAATAATCTGTAAAAATAATAATTATTAACAGTGCAAGCAAAATTTTTAATCACGGATGGATCCCGACAAATCTATCGTACGACGTCCCTGGCACACGGCGTCACGTGGGCAGTCTAGCGCGGGAGTAGGGGCACGGTAGGCGTCTACTCCGAAATCGGCCCGAAAAGTGCAACTAAATCCGAGCACTGCCGTAGACCCTCGGCTGTCAGTTTCGGCAGGCAGAGTCAAACCCGCGGCACTTACCGCAACAATAAGACCGATTTTATGATTTACTACTCAAACCGAGACGTCACTGCTGAAAATCACTAAATTTCTAAGCGTTATATCTCGAAAACTAATAAAAATCGGGTAAGTACATAAAATTTGGATGAATTCGTCTTGAAAAGCACTATCGCCTGATCGAAAAAAAATATATAGTTTCATTTAAAAAACGAAACTTCACCATCATATCTTTTACATTAATAACAATAACAAAATTTTGCTTCCGCCAAAACATAGAGCCTCTTTTGCCCTGCAATTTCCATATAAGCACTTTTTCGTGACATCAATAGTTCATGAGATATCATGCTGTAACACTTTGGCGCGGACACCCTGTAGGTACATGCAACATTGTTAACAATTAGATCTTGTCCAGCAGAGGACATAAAAGGGTGATATTCCGCTTGAATGATCCTTGCGCAGTGCGGACCGTTGCGACGCGTGCAACTCCATCATCACCTGGATGGACCTCAACGACCACTCCCACCTCGACGAACACTCCCAGCTGCCACCTCATGCACGGTTGATTTTTGTCCATGATAAGCACAACATTGTCGGGCTGCAGTTCGCCTCGTGACGTATGCTATTTTTGCCGTTTCTGGAGTTCGTTGAGATATTCCAAATGCCAGCGTTTCCAAAAGTCCTGGCGGGCCCTGGTGATAAATTGCCAGACCTTGAGACGGTTATCTGGAACGTCAGAAAGATCATTTTCAGGCAGCATGGTGAGCGGACGCCCTATTAAAAGATGAGCAGGCGTTAATGCTAGAGGATCGTTGGGATCATTAGATAATGAACAGAGGGGACGAGAATTAAGGATCGATTCGATTTGTATTGCGAGAGTATTCAATTCTTCAAATGTAAGAAGTTGATTTTTTACTACTCGCTTAAAGTGGTGCTTGAACGATTTTACAGCAGCCTCCCAAATGCCCCCAAAGTGTGGCGACAGGGGTGGATTAAACTGCCACGTAATGTTTTTGCGCACAGCATATTCGTTAATTAGATCCTGATGTTGCTCGGATTCGAGCAGGAGATAAAGTTCCCGCAGTTCATTATTTGCACCCACGAAGTTCGTTCCATTGTCAGAATAAACATGAGAAGGAATTCCCCTACGGCCAATAAAACGCCCGAAAGCGCCCAGGAAACCATCGGTTGTCAAATCGCTCACAATTTCGATATGTACAGCCTTGGTAGCCATGCAGATGAAGACGCACCCATATGCCTTGATTTGAGGTCGGTTTCGAAATTTCTTTTCCTTGATGTACAAAGGTCCAAAGTAATCTACACTGACGTGAGAAAACGCAGCTGATTCGTTAACGCGTGCGTTGGGTAAATCCGCCATTTTACCGTGGAGAGTGGTTGGACGATGCCGAATGCAATCGACAAATCGCCTCACAATTCGAAGTACTTGATTTTTTCCGTCGAGTAATCAGAATCGATGTCGGATATTGTAGAGCGTGCTTTGAATTATGGAATGATAAGTATTTTTGTGAGTTTCGCGAATTATCAGGTCTGTTACGTGATGATTGGAAGGCAATAAGATGGGATGTTTTTTAGTAAATGAAATGGGCACGTGTTTCAAACGACCACCAACTTGCAGCAGACCTTGTTGGTCAATGAACGGATTGAGACCCCGCAATCGGAGGTTCTTCGTCTCTCCGGTCTCCCTGATTTGCTCGATTTCATAGCTGTATTGCGCGTTTTGTACCAATAGCAAAATTTTGAGTTCCGCTTGCGCGTTTTCTAATACGCTTAGACTCTTGCCCTTAAAGGGATTGGATTTGCGCAAGCGTAAACAGTACGCAACGGAATGTACGAGTGTGGTATAGGATGAGAAACGTCGGAAGACCTCGGTGGAAGCCGTTATTAAGCAAATGTTTTTTCTAAGACCGGGAATTTCTGACGGAACCGTTTGAATTGAGACAGGCCAATCGCTATGACTTCGTTTGAGCCAGGGAGGACCATTGAACCACAGTTGATTGTTGAGAAACTCCGAAAGGAGTTGTCCTCTAGATAAAGATTCAGCTGGATTGTCCTTGGTTCGGACGTGTCACCACTCGACCCTATCTCCTAGAGATTGTATTTCTGTGACCCGGTTGGCTTCGAAGACCTTGAGCGATTGTGGCGATCGCTTCAGCCAATGAAGAACGGTTGTCGAATCGGACCAAAACACAATGCGAGAGATCGCGAAATTGAATGCGAGAAGGGACTCGCTGTACAACCGTGAGAGTAATTGCGCGCCGCACAATTCTAACCTCGGAATGGATACTTCCTTGAGGGGGGCTCCTCTAGATTTCGCACAAGCTAATCGAACAACTACTCGTTCCTGTGAATCCGTCGATCGTACATACAAATACGCTCCGTAACCGACCTTACTCGCATCACAAAATCCGTGTAACTCGATGCTGGTCGCGTCAGGAGTCAAAATGTTTCTTTCTATCGAGAAATCTTTAATGAGGTTTAATTGCTCAGCGAATTTAATCCAGCGTGAATGCAATTCTTGCGATACCGACTCGTCCCAATGATCCCTTGACTTCCAGCATTCTTGTATAATAATTTTTGCAGCTAAGACCACGGGGCCTAATGATCCCAGAGGATCAAAGATTTTTGCAATGTTGGATAAAATATTACGTTCGGTTATTTTTATCGACGAATCAATCGATCTCACTGTATATATGAAATTGTCTACACGCGAGTTCCAGACGATTCCGAGAGTTTTTGAAACCGGATTTTCATCGACAGCACAATCTAAATCTAATGTTTTTTCGTCAAGGTTATCAAGCGCGTGCTGCTGATTAGAAGCCCATTGGCGAATGATTGAACAACAACTTGTCGATACATTTGCGCGACATCCGCGGTCACGACATAAGTGTGAGTTCTAAATCGCAGAAAATGCATGAAAAGATTGCTTTGAATCGTGGGGCCTGTTAATAAGGCATTGTTAAGAGACATGCCTTTGTCGGTTTTTGTGGAGGCGTCGAATACAACACGAACGTTCGTGGTATTGCTCGAGGTCTTGATTACCGGATGATGAGGTAAATAATAGCCGTATTTCTGTTCATCTGACACGTGAACCATATGTCCGAGATCAACATATTCCTGCATGACCCTAAAATATTTTGTTTTGAAGCGAGAATCTATATTCAATCTCGTTTGCAAAGATAAGAATCGTTTATGAGATTGAGTTTTTGAATCTCCGAGCTCGACACTTTTTATGCGGAAGGGTAATCGCACTATGTAGCGTTCGCTCGAGTGGCGTGTCGTGTGAAATTGATAATGGTCTTCGCACAATCTTCGCTCAATGACCCAGAAACGTGTTAATTGACTCGATAAGTTAGTTAATCGACAGGATATAAACTTCCCATTGTTCTCCTCATTGGTTCCTCCCGCGACGACCCAGCCAAGTTGAGTTTTTTGATTGAGTTGACAAAAGTGATAAAGTTGTACCTGAACCGATAAGCACGTCTACCGGTTGCGGTATGTGAAATTGAGGATCGGCTAGCGTTATGTTAGTCGGTATGAAAATTGATTCTCGCGGAAATACTTCGCTCGGGCTCGTATCTGCGATTTTGGAAATTGTCAGAAATGGTAACGATCTTTGAAATTTGTTGTTTATAAATTTACAATTTATTTGTACGATATGTTTCGAAAATGTTTGCATTCCGTTGACTGCTCCTATAGGAATTGAACATATTCGCATCGGAAGTTTTAATTTACGCGCTAATTCGTCTGTAATAAAATTGGCTGTCGCGCACGTATCACGCAAAGCACGGGCTTGTATGAAGTTACTGCTCGAATCGCGCATTTGAACGAGGGCGCTCATCCTTAATTGAAATTGTAAAAATAATGATATTTTTAATAAAAATGCTGATTGCCCCTCTTCACAGGAGGTGATGTTAAATTATATATCTAATAAACATCGCAACAAACAACAAATTCCAAAAACACGTTTCCTCTATTTTTATCCATAGTTTACGTACACGAAGTTGGAAAAAAATAGATCAACATTTAGTCTAAAAATTTAAACAAAAATGATAAATTTTTTAAATATTATTTAAACAAATAAAGTTTCTTGAAATTTTTTTTCGCACAAAAATTTCCTATCTAAAGACGAACAATTTACAAAAAAAAGAATTCTAAAGACGAACAATCCTATCTAAAGACGAACAATTTACAAAAAAAAGAATTCAATTATCTTCTTTAGTTCCGGAGATATTCCCAAAAATATGGTTTCAACCCCCAACTTCGAGGGCTATTTTCACCCCCTTAACATGAATGATAGCAGCTAAAAAAAAATACGTGTCGAATATTTTGTCGAGAACTACATTATATTCAAGTTTCATAAAAATCGGAGATTATCACTTCGGGATGGTCCCTTGTTAGTAATCGTTTCCGGCTTGTTATTACGCCTCGAAGACTGATGCGTAGAAACGGGTTTAATGTGTAAGAGTGTATGATGAAATTTGTTACAAATTTTGGCTCCCTATGCTCGTGAAGACAGACGTTTTGTTTTGACAATGTTTATGCGTTGGTCTACCGATAGAGTACTGAAGATTGTACATTTGAAGAGGGGGTGATTACCCTTACAAGGAGGACAACAATGGGCGTACGACGTCACGAACGCGCGAGCGCCTGTTTCGATTTTTTTAAACTTCTTCGGGTTTCCCGCGCGATCGGCACAGTGTCGTCTAGACGAATTATTCTTATCATACTTCCACATACATACTTTTTACATTTTAGACAAATTTTGTTGGTTTTATTATCTTTGCAATATCTAATTTGACATGTTTTACGTTTATGCGAACCTGTATTTGTAGTTGGTGTTGTCTGATCTTCTTTGTCTGCCTCTAACTCTTTTTTATATTCATTGACAAGTTCTTCTGCCAATTGAAATAAAAATTCCTGCCTCGTAATTTCTTCGCCTGCGGTTTCTCCGAACAAACTTCATGCATTTATCCCAGCTAGGTCTAGGATGTTAAAAAATACTTGTAAAGGCCATCTCCGACATTCAGATTTTACGGAGTAATTTATATAGGAATGCAATAAATGCATGTAATTTCGCAGTAGATATTAGGTTTGTCCTTATAAAACGTTAGATTTTTAAATGAACATATAAATCCGCATTTTTTTTTTTCAAAAGCTGTTTATTTAATCAAAATATGCGCTGTTTGCTTCAATACACTTTTCCCAACGAGATTTTAATGCATAAATAAATGCCTCTCTTAAAGAAATTCTGATCTCTAGATTCAATAAACTCTGATACAGAATTTTTCATATTGTTTGCCTCGTAAAAACTGTTCTAAATCTTAAAAAAAAAAATGAAAATCAAATGGCGAAAGATCTGGTAAATAAGCTGGGTGTTGCAAAATTTCATATTTTAATTCGTTTAATTTTTGAATTGTTTTTTGTGACGTATGCGACCAAGCGTTGTAATGGAGAAGTATTGGTCCATGCCGATTAAGAAGTGATGCACGTATAATAATTAATTTTTCGTGCATTTCGTCAATGTACTGATAATAATTTTTAGCTGTAATTGTCTCCCCAGTACGAAGGAATGAGAAATGAATTACTCCAGTCACATTCCACCAAACTGTAATCAAAATTTTTCGTTTCCTATTGTCATAAACAACCCATTTTTCGTCACATGTAATAATCCGATCGAAGATTGGCTTTCGATTAAATCGGGTTAGCAGTGATGAACACACGTTCAACCAATTCAGCTTATGTTGCTCTGTGCATTCGTGCGGTATTCACTTGTCCATTTTTTTCATTTTACCAATTTCAGTTAGGTGTCGCAATATTGTTGTATGCTCAACTTCCATTTTGATGGCATGTTCCCGTGTGCATACAGTTGGATTCGCTTCCACCAATGTTTTTAGCGTATCGTTATTGACAGTCGATTTGGGTCTACCGCGCGGTTTATTTTGTAAGAAAAAATCTCCAGAAAGAAATTTTTCAAACCAACGCTGTACTTTACGATTGTTAGCGGTATTCTACCCAAATACCTGGTTTACGTGGTTTGTCCGGAAAATACGTATAAAAGTGGAATAATTATTTTATTTTACAATTATTCATGTATTTCAATATGGTCCCCTTCAAAGTACTCCCCCTGGGACAAAATACACTTGTGCCAACGCCGTTTCCATTGTTGATAACATCGCTGAAAGTCTTCAATTGTGAGGCTCTTCAGTTGCTGTGTCGTAGCTGCCTTGATAGCTTCCACATCTCCCAAGTGCCGCCCCCGAAACACCATTTTGCATTTCGGGAACAGAAAGAAGTCGCAAGGGGCTAAGTCGGGTGAATAAGGCGGGTGTTCTGTCACGGTGATTGAATTTTTGGCCA